ACTCGCTCTCAGTCAAACGTTATGGAGGGACAACCAAAATCGGGTCCTTGAAAATTACCACTTTAAAACGTAGTCAGGCACAGTTTACTATAGGTAGGTGCGACTGCGGCAACTAGCCTTCCGTAGACATAATACAGGAAGAAGAGATGGTACTCAGCAGAGAACATGAGCACAGAGTTGTAGCGGAGATAATTTGGCAGGCGAGACTGTAGTTGTTTTATTGTTCCGAACCCCGAAATTCCGGTACTCGGGGCCATTACTCCGGAGACCCTCGGAACCTGCTGTGTTTTTGCTGCTTGTTTTTTGTTTTTGTTTTGTTGTTGAGATGAGACACAAGCGCGCCTTCGCCCCTTGTGCTCACTCTCATCTAGCACCCATCAAAGCCTGACCAGGGAGTCAGTTGATAAGAAAATCTATCTACATTTCTCTTTCCAGAGCTCGCTCGGGCCTACCGATCTCACAGCAGTGTAGACCAACCTCTGTGATAGAGCGGTGACAGCAGTGTAACCTCTGTGGTAGACTACCAAGTCTACGAGCTACAGCAGCACCGCCACCTCCTCTGCTGCAGGACGCCACATTCTGTGACTTGAGTCAACCTTCTTTCTCTTTCGGCCTCTGACGGGCTACCGCACCCAAACATCTATATATAGTCCATAAAAATGGGGAGCCCGTCGTCTCAAAACCCGGCACATACGACGCCGCGGGGAAACAATACAAAAATATGGTACAACCACTCGGAAAAAGAAAACAAAATGATAAAAAAGGAAATAACAGGTACCGCACCGACCGTTCGAGAAAAGAGCCCTCCGAAACCGATGAAAAATAAACAAAAACAAGAATAAAGGAGGACGCTTCCCACACCCGCCTAAAGAAAGAATCAAAGGGTAACGTACCAGCACCAGGCACTACGCACCAGGGCATGGGAGGAGTAACGGAGCAAACAGGACAAAGAGGCGTCAGATGGGCAGACAGCAAGATGTAGTACAAAAACAAAAGCAATAGCGAGATCAAGGTACCCAACACAGCAGAGTAGTCTAGGCAGTAGGGAGGACATAAAAAAAACTGAGAAGCACAGCACAGAGGCCGAAGGCAATACAACGGAAATACATACATAAAGGAGTATCATACAGCAGGAGGGAAACAGGGCGCAACAACATCAGAACAACATGCTGGTGAAATTGAGAGCGCAGCAGGAAATTAGGCCTGTCCTCCATCGGCCGTTTTGCTTGTATGACGGAGAATAAGAAGGTGGAATTACTTGAAATTAGTATAGAAATAAAGTTTGTGTATCTAAATCGAAAATAAAACGGCCGATGGAGGACAGGCCTACCATGAAATTGAGAGCGAGAGCCAAAAAAATAAAAGTTCGCGTCCAGACGCCTCTTGCCATTTCTCGGGAAGTAGGGGGCGGGCTCTTCCAAGAAGCGGCGCAAATTGAAGGTCTCATCAGCAGCGTCACGAGCATATACGTGTCATCGTCATCGGATGCTGCAGCGAGGAGCTAGACAAGTTGCTAGATTTCCCCAGATTGGCTATTCCTGCCCCAAACTGTTGCAGGGCGGTTTGGCCTCGGGCGGTGGGCTCTGCTGTAGCCTCTGCTCGCCGCTGTAACTCCACATCGAGAGACTCCAACAGGATGACCAGGGCATCTGCTTGTAGCTACGGACTGGCCCTTCAATTAAGCTACACAGCAAGCTCCACCTCTCAACAGCAAGCTCCACCTTTCAGCAGTAGTCCAGCTGCAGCGCATCGCGCAATCTCGCTATCAATCAGATGCTTTGCTCTCAATTTCACCAAAATGCTGTTATCAGCCGGGTACATAGTTCGCCACAAGTGCTGCCTCGGCCACCCTTGATCGCTTCTACAGCAGTGCCCGGTCGCCGTTTCTTCCCCCCCACCGCCGCTTCCCCGGCTCTCTTTCTCTTCGGTCCTGAGATGGCCGTACTCTCTGCTTCTGCTCCCCTCGAGCGCTGGCGCTTGGCGGAGGTTCCGCCTTCTGCCTGTGCCATTTCCTCATGAGCCATGCCGCCCCGTCAGTATAACCCAACGAAGCCGTTTCTATACGAACAGAGTCTGCATGCAAGACAGGTTAGCAATGAATTGATCATGGCGTCAGTGAAAGTTCTGTTTTTCCACGATTTCCCGAGCAGCACATAGCGATATCTTCCCCGCGGGGAACGGACATGATCAACAAGAAGACAGTTTGGTAGCCATCTTGTACATCTCTCAGAGTGTGTTATTTTATGCTGGGAAGATGTAGAATTAATGTTTTTCCCTCTTGATTATTTTTCTCATTCTTTTCCTTTTCCAGTGCAGGGTTACCGCGCATACATTGTAGCGTGTAGAGGCGAGCGGAGTGGCCTAGACTAAAGTCTACGTGGTTGACTTTTATTGACTTGCGGGCTCTTCGGATCCATTTTATTGTATTTCACTTCGAAGTACTTGGAATTAAAATAAAAAAAAATGGTCGCGCCGGAGGTCTATAGTGGTATCCTCGTAATCCGTTAGTTGCAGAGGTCGTGAGTTCGAATCCTCATGGGGTGAACAATTTACGAAATGTGGGGGGGTGAAAGTGAAATATAGCTGACAAGCTCTCGTGAGTACCAAACTTCGACGCTCACAGAATGTGGCGTCCTGCAGCAGCGGAGGTGGCGGTGCTGCTGTAGCTCGTAGACTTTGTAGTCTACCACAGAGGTTACACTGCTGTCACCGCTCTATCACAGAGGTTGGTCTACACTGCTGTGAGATCGGTAGGCCCGAGCGAGCTCTGGAAAGAGAAATGTAGATAGATTTTCTTATCAACTGACTCCCTGGTCAGGCTTTGATGGGTGCTAGATGAGAGTGAGCACAAGGGGCGAAGGCGCGCTTGTGTCTCATCTCAACAACAAAACAAAAACAAAAAACAAGCAGCAAAAACACAGCAGGTTCCGAGGGTCTCCGGAGTAATGGCCCGAGTACCGGAATTTCGGGGTTCGGAACAATAAAACAACTACAGTCTCGCCTGCCAAATTATCTCCGCTACAACTCTGTGCTCATGTTCTCTGCTGAGTACCATCTCTTCTTTCTGTATTATGTCTACGGAAGGCTAGTTGCCGCAGTCGCACCTATGGTAAACTGTGCCTGACTACGTTGTAACAGTTTTCCTCGACACGACCCCTCGATTAGGCAAGTAGCCGATGTTCCAAAACTTCACTTCGCTGCCATTTTTGCGACCCCTCGATTCCCAATCCATATCAAAGAATATCGACCTCCACATGAGTGAATCCATCCTGTGAGCAATACACGCGTCCAAAACATTCAACCATACTATGCGATCTTGTGCTTAATATCTTCTAGCACTTGTAGTCCTTGATGAGTTGCATGATGGTGGCGAATCGCTGCTTCGGGAGATGTTTCGTCGCGATGTCCGCCAACATCGTGGCACTAGGTTGGTGGTGAAGAGTGATCCGGTGCCCCTTCGTGAGTTCCCTGAGGAAGAAGAACCGGAGCGCGATGTGCTTGGTTCTAGAGCTGAACATCGCGTTGCTGGCCACAGTCAATGCTCCGGTGCTGTCGCTGTTGATGGGTACCGATCGAAAGGTCTTGAATCCGATTTCCGTCATGAAGTTGGAGATGTAGACTGCCTCGCGAGCACTGAAGCTCAGCGCTTGAAGTTCGGCCTCCACGGTGTTCTGTGCTGCGAGAGTCTGTGCCTTGGCTCCGTAGCTGATCAGTCCCCCTCCTAGGAAGAACAGGTATCCGGTGGTAGACCTGCCGTTGTCTGGGTTGGCTCCAAATGACGAGTCAGTGAAGCACGAGAGTCTGAACTGCCCCTTCTTGTACACGATCGGCAGGTCCGGCGTTCCGCGTAGGTACCGTAGTAGGTGCTTGGCCGCAGCCATGTGGACCTGTGCTGGGTTTGCGCATGCCCGTGTCAGTTGGTGCACTGCGTATGACAGATCGTAGCGGGTGCATTGGGCAAGGTACAGGAGACTCCCGGTGATGGCCTGGAATCTCTGCTTGTCCTCGGGTCCGAGTAGTTGGTCTTGTGGCTGCTCGGTTGATAGTTCTGCTCCATACCCGGGGGTGCTGACCGGGTTTGCCTGTTCCATTCCGTATCGCTGTAGGATATCTCTCGCGTAGGGTCCTTGCGATATGGCTAGTGTGCCATGTTCGTAGTCCCGCTGCACTTCGATGCCGATTACGCGCTTGACCTCTCCCATGTCTGTCATTTCGAAGCTGTCCATGAGTTCCTTCTTTTTGCTGCTTACGATCTCCTTGTTTCCGCCCGTGATGAGGATGTCATCGACGTAGATCGCGAGGATTGTGAGTTCGTCCCCGCTTACGAAGATGTAGACACAGGGGTCAGAGCGAGTGCGCTGCCAGCCGAAGATGATGAGTCTGTCATTGATGGCGTCGTTCCACAGTGACGGGGACTGTGACAGGCCGTACAGACTTTTCTCCAGTTTGTAGACCATCATTTCACCTGTCGTAGGGTCCCTCTCCTCGTCGCCTGGCGCCGGCCTGACGTAGACGTCTCTGTCGGTGTACGCGTTCAGGAATGCAGCTACCACGTCCAATTGGTACACCTCCCATCCGTGTTCGCAAGCGATGGCGAATAGCATGCGGATGCTACCCAATCGGGTTACTGGAGCGTAGTTCCTTCCGAAGTGTCGTCCTGCCCGTTGGCGGTGTCCCCCCGCGACTAAGCGGGCCTTGAAGCGGCTGTCGGCCTTGATCTTGAACACGAAGCGTGTGTCGAAGATGTCCTCATCCTTCGGTACCAGGCTGATGCGTACTTTCTTAAAGACTTTGTGCTTGGCGAGATTACCCATCTCGGTGTCGATAGCGCTCTTCCACTGCTCGCGTTGTGGTGAGTTCATGGCTTCGGTGTACGTGCTCGGAGTTTTGATCTCTTGGTGTGTCTCCCCCAAGAACCCTTTGCTCGAGGTGCCCGTGGCGTAAGCATACGCCCGGACTTCGGCGAAGGGGTCTTCATCCAGGTGAGCAAAATCCGCCGCGTCAGTAGGGCATCGTTGCTGCGCTTGGTGGGTGAGATCGAGTAGTTGATCCTCGGTGAGCTCCAGTGGGTCGGGGTGGCTGACAGCCATGGCAGAGCGGCCTCTGTCGTTCATGTTCACTTCCAGAGATTTCGGGATGCATGAAGGGTCGATAGGGTCATCTGTGGGTTGGTGAGTGCGCGTGGCAGGACGGGTCACCGTTAATCGACGCATTGGGATGGGGGCTGGCGAAGCGGAGTCCGTGTCTGTTGGCGTCGTGGGTGATTCGAGTGTCGTGTCCTGCGATGTCCTGGATGGTGTCGTAGTCCGCGGGTTGTTGTTGCTGTCAGCTCCCCCAGCAGCAAAGTAGTTGTCGGAATCCATGCCCGCGTTGTTTTGGCGAAGTTCTGCTCGGCTGATGTTGTCTTGCTGCATGTTGCGCATCTCGTGCAGCAGGAGCTCTGATTGTGTTCCGTAGTCCACTTTGTTGTCTTCGTCGCCCGTAGAGGTACGGCATCCGAGCAGTGACGTGAAGTTCATCACGTGATGTTCATATCCGAGACGGTCGTCCCACCGGTGAGGGGGGATGGTGTTGGGTGGAGTCTCGATGAAAGTCACGTTCCGGCTCTCGTAGACCTTGTCTTTGCCCTCCACGTAGATCCGGTACGTCTTGCTGCCAGGTCCGTAACCGCAGAGCTTGCCTTCAAAGGTCCGGTCGTCTAGCTTCTTCTTGTATCGCTCGTGATGAACGAATGCGCGGGCGCCGATGGCACGAAGTCGAGAAAGGTCCGGGGTTGTGTTGTACATCTTGGAATACGGCGTGGCTCCCCCTAGCGCCGCGTGTGGGGTCCTGTTGGTCAGGTATGCTGCAGTCATCATGAGCTCCCCCCACATGTGTTTTGGGAAGTCTCCATCGCGCAGTAGAGCTCGAGTCACAGCCGCAAGTGTCTGGCCATCCCTTTCTGACACTCCGATTTCTTGGGGCGTGTTGGTCGCGGCGAATTCCAGCTTGATCGCAGACTCCCTACAGTAGTTGCGCATTTCTTCCCCAGTGTTCTCTCCCCCTTTGTCACAGCGTAGAACCTCGATGCGGTAGCCTTCAGATGCTACTTGCATGTTGTAGGCGTGCAGAGCTTGCGTGGTTTCGGTCCTGTCGCGCAGTAGGTACACTTCCCGCATTCTGGTGAAGACGTCGGTCGCTTTGGCGACATAGGAGTAGGTGCGTCCGTTGTACTTCGCAGGCGGGTCGATTGGTCCCATGTTGTCGAACTGGACGAGTTGGCCTGGTTTGGTCAGGACACGGCTGGTCTTCTTCGGGACGGGAGCCTTCTTGTGCTTCGTGATTTGGCAGTTGTCGCACGGGGATACAGGTCCGTCATATTTCACACCTGTGGCGGGGTTGCGCCGCAAAATCTCCATAGCACGTGGATTGATGTGGCCGAGGCGCCGGTGCCAGAGGTCGGCGCTCACGCTCATCGCCACTGAGCATGTCGCGTGCAGAGTGTGATCGATCTGTACCGCTTCTGGTTTTCCGAACTTCGGCTTGCGCCCTGGTTCTTGGTTGTTCGGGGGTGTCTTGCTTGTCGACGCTGGATCGCCCTTGAATGTGATGGCGAGGGTGCACATGCCTTGGTCTTGAGTCTCTTGTTTCAGAGGAACGACGACTTCTCCGCCGATGGTGAGGTGTGGGGTCTTGTCTTCCAGGACACATCGGAGGCCCTTCTTGAGAAGGGCCGTTGGTGCGAAGATGTTCCGGCCTAGTCCTGGCACGATGAGACCTTGTAGCTTGACGGGTAGTTGCTGTTCTTTGTCGTCTTTGATGGTGCAGTGTAGGATCCCAGTGGTAGTGCCTCGTAGTTGGCTTTCTCCTGCAACGTCGATGATCTTGGGCGTCGGGCGTTCTTCTTCGAGACGTCCATTCGGGATGAGGCGGTTGTCGAACATGGTCTCAGAAGCTCCAGAATCCACCAGCGCGGAAGTCCCAGTTGCAGTTGTCGTGAAAGTGCGTCCGCTTCCCTTGCTGCATGTAGCATGGTACATGAATCCACCCTTGAATGCATCTTCGTCGTAAGAGAAGTCGATCTCTGCCTGTTCGGTCTTCTCTGTTTCTTTGGGAATTTCTGTTGTGGTAGGCTTGGCTTGTATGTCTCTTGACTGGGTTGAGCAGTGCACGCAGTGTGTGCATGCAGAAAAGGCCTTGCCCGTGCGTTCTGGTCGCTTGGCTCCTTGGTTGTAACACTCTTCGTCGGAGTGTGTAGTGGTGTTATGGACGGAGCACCACTTGGTTGCTCCCGCAGGCTTCGTCTTCTTTGCCCTATGGCCCTCCCGCTGGCGATTGGGACAGTTCCTCCTGACATGTCCCGGTTCGTTGCACTCGAAGCAGATGGGGCCAGATGTCTTGGTAGCCATGGCGAATACGCGGCCAGCGATTTGGCCCTTGGTTCTCTTGCGCATTTGCTCGTCAAGGAAGATGTTGCGCATGGTGGCTTGCATCTGTTGTACGTCGAATGATGGGTCGCGGAAAACCATCATCTTGATGTCCTTGTAGTCCTCGGAGAAACCTTGCACACAGATGTCCTTGAAGCGGCGATCGGAGATGGTTTCCCCCATTTTCTCTAGTTGAGAGCGGAGGCGGTGTTTCTTGTTGAAAAAATCGTCCGGGTTCTCTCCTGGCTCCATGACCGTCCTTTCCAGGTCGTCCAGTTTAGCCCTGATCACTTCATCTGTCACTCGATTGTAGTTGGCCTTCAGTTCCGCGAATGCTGCCTGCCCGTCGCCGCTAAGGCCGGTGTCGTCTTCGTGCTTGTGTACGGTTAGTGCAGCCGGCAGTTCGACGAGGCAGAATAGGATTGCGTAGAGGTCTTCGTTTGCTCTCTCGTATGCGGCGAAGGTGGTGTCCGAGGGATCAGGCCTGCGCATTCCCTTGAGAAGTGGCATGATGTCCCTCCGAGTAACGCCGACGACTACACCCAATTTCTTCATCCAGTCGTTGAAGTCCTCTGGTTTCGTTCCATCGAACTTGGGGAGTCCTCTGATGACGTTGGCCAGGTTTGTGGATCCATCACTCCAGATGCTGCCTCCGCCTCCAGTTTCCGATTTTGCTTCCATTTCTGGTTTTATCCTGATGATCTCGTCTTTAATATTTTTGTTGGTGTATTACTCAGCTATCTGTCGCTGAGATTTTTCCAGCCCCGCTCCTTCTACTGATATAGAGGACTCCGGTTGCCGATTCGTGACCCCGCTTCTGAAACCCTTTTCTCACCTAGATAGAGAATTGGTGAATAGAACTCCGGTTGTAGGCCAATTTGCGACCCCGCTCCTGATACCCTTTCCTCACTTAGGGAATCGGTGAATAGGACTACGGTTCCCGGTCGACTTTCGCTGTTGATACAGTCTTCCCTCCTGTCTCCGCCGCAGAAGTATTTGCTCGATGTCTAAATCGAGGCTTCCCGCGCAACACTTTGCTGTTTGTTCACCACAGAGGTACCCACTACTGCTGTTGCAGCAGTGGTAACGTGTGTGTATAATGAACTCTCTGCCCCTTGGTGTAGATGACCAAGTAGTGCGCTCACTTTCGTTTCCGCTGACCGTTGATGATCTCCCAAATCTCCGAATCCAGATTTCCGCTCGAAGTCCACAGACGGATGTTGTAGTCCACAGCAGTAGGATGTCTTGACCTCCGTCGTGACGTCCGCAGCTCCTAGTGTTCGCGTAAAGCGAGGCTCATAACCTCACAGAATGTGGCGTCTTGCAGCAGCGGAGGTGGCGGTGCCGCTGTAGCTCGTAGACTTTGTAGTCTACCACAGAGGTTACACTGCTGTCACCGCTCTATCACAGAGGTTGGTCTACACTGCTGTGAAATCGGTAGGCCCGAGCGAGCTTTGGAAAGAGAAATGCAGATAGATGTTCTTATCAACTGACTCCCTGGTCAGGCTTTGATGGGTGCTAGATGAGAGTGAGCACAAGGGGCGAAGGCGCGCTTGTGTCTCATCTCAACAACAAAACAAAAACAAAAAACAAGCAGCAAAAACACAGCAGGTTCCGAGGGTCTCCGGAGTAATTGGCCCGAGTACCGGAATTTCGGGGTTCGGAACAATAAAACAACTACAGTCTCGCCTGCCAAATTATCTCCGCTACAACTCTGTGCTCATGTTCTCTGCTGAGTACCATCTCTTCTTTCTGTATTATGTCTACGGAAGGCTAGTTGCCGCAGTCGCACCTATGGAAAACTGTGCCTGACTACGTTGTAACAGTTTTCCTCGACAACGCTAGCACCGTTGACGAGGGAAAGGGACGGCTAGACCCTTCTCGCGACAAAAATAAATTCAGCACGCACCGCAGGAGGAGGTGGGGCATTAAAAGAAATAAAAAGAAGAAAAAAGCCCTAGAGTATCGACTACCCCCTCCTGCGTAACCCTGGATGGTTGTTGTACGAAAAAGAAAAAGATACACTGAAAAGTGTAGTACTCCACATACGCTGAAAAGTGTAGTACACGTCTCACCACGAAAAATGGGGGACTGTCGCCATAATAAATAGGACGAAAACACACAACACACACACCCTTTTTGGGTAAGTTAGCCTGCCTGTGAAAACGCGAATCGACTCCGTCAAGTGTTGGACTATCTTGTAAAGGACAGAACGGACAGAATAAGGTGCTAGGCCCAGAGAGAACAAAACTGTTTTCGATGTGAAGTCAACAACATCGACAACAACAACAACAACAACACCCGGCACCGGAAGAAGATTGCTACTTCGTGACAATAATAATAGCTGTGATGGGCTGGGGGGCACTGACTGCTGGTTTGGTTTTCAAGTCTTCAACTACAGTACTTGGGGACAACCCCCCAAGCTAAAGTAACTCAGAACATTCCACTGCTTCTGCGACAAGTCCTCAGCATTTGACCTTGGGCAAACATGGCGAAATAGCACAAACAACCGACACACCAGAACCACAGGATGAAAAAAAACATGCGTCGAAACGTCATTAATCCAAGCTTGATACTCAAGCCGGCAACACTCCGGAGAGGGACCGTCTGTGAGCCTCCGGCGCCGGTGGCATCACCTTAGCCACGTGCAACGCCTTACACATTTGTTGCAATTTGCCGTGCGTTGTACTTATTCACTCCCCCAAGCCCCTTCACCTCCTCCCCGAACAAGACTGTTAGATATACTCGCAGCAGTATCGGGTCGTGAGGATCCCAGGGGGATACGTGTTGGTAATTTCGTATGTTGAAGGATACCACCGGGGCAGTCACGGGGACGCTTTGGGCATGGTCGGTGCGATGATGAGGCTTGCGTGCGTGCTGCGCACGTCTTCCCTCTTTCTCTCCACCACCACCACCGTCTCTCTCCAATCAAGTTTCCTTCTCCCACTCTCTCTCCAACTCTCTCTCAACCTCACTCTCTCGGCCTAACACGGCCGACTACCTAGTGCTCCAAAGTAACGTCCAGAATGTGCTTGCTGCACCCCGCGTAGCTTACCTTTCAAAGTTTAACCGCCGTTTCTTCGAGCGATTTCGCGTCCAGGGCCTGTTTCGCCCCCCCCCCCTCCCCCCTCGGTGTTTGCCATCGGGATTGGGTTTTCGTCGCTTGGCAACGACGTTGGGAAACAAGCTAATTCACTTTGTGAACTCGGCAACCAGGTTTCCGTTTTGTTTTTTTTTCGCTTTTTTTTGGCGGTAACCACAATGGTGGTCAAGTAGATCTTGTTGTGCGGGGTGGAGAACCCTCACTCCGCGCAAGGGGGATGATCGCACCACGTTTTGTTAAAATGGTCAAGCACCCTCGAGAAGTTACACAATGCTTACAACTGTATCAGGAAGTGAAAGCACCAGAAAATTTATTTAGTCATACGCAGCTGTCCTCCGTACGCAAGGAAGTAAGCACAAGATGCCGAACACCCTTCGCAGGTTGCAGCGCACCCTTCATGCGACTCGCCGAATATCTCACGGCGCTTCGCGCTTGGTGATGTGAGAGCCTGGTCCGGTGAGAACCCGGCGTGCTCCGTCCCGGCTTTGTAGGGATGCGAGGTCAATGGTCTAACGACTACGGCATGCACGACTATGAGTACACCCCCCGCCCTCTCCTCCTCCTCCTCCTCCTTCTTTTTCTTCCTCACCCCCCTCCTCCTCCTGGTCCGGTGAGAACCCGGCGTGCTCCGTCCCGGCTTTGTAGGGATGCGAGGTCAATGGTCTAACGACTACGGCATGCACGACTA